CATTCTCTCAATAAGAATACATATATAATGATGATAATAGTGGATGTCGAACCTCTTCTGTGAAAAATAGAGCCTCAAGTACAAGCTTGGATGAAAAACAATATTCAAAGCCACCATAAGTTAAGTCCTTCTTAAGCTTTCGATATGTCATATAAGAAAAACAGAATAACCTTGCAAGTCGCGAACCTTGGACTACTTGCCTTTCTCCCAATTTGATATATTGTTTTTTAACTGACTTCAATATAATGTGTGATACGGTGGGAGAACTGACTTGGGATTTTGCGTTTGTGTTCGCAAATGTTTCGGATTAGCAAAAGTCGCCACCGACTTTTTATTTTATCCTAAGGAAAGGTCAAAAAGCACAGGAAAGACCTTTGAGATGTTTTCTTGGGTTCGGGGAGTAGATTATGAAAAGGGAAGGTGCAAACACCCTTTTCATTCATGGTTATCCATGGGCTCTTAGTTACTTGTTTAGATCACTTGCTTTTGCTTTTCAATTGTTTGAAATGGTGCTTTGTGTGTGGTTTTGAAAGATGTTTTGAAAATAGGCCATCGTTGTGGCAACCTTTGTAATGATTCTTGTTTGAATGTATACAAAGATGTTTTTGTATTTTGAAAAGATTTCAAAGTTTGAAAGTTTGTTTTTAGGAAATGTTTTGAAATGGTGTTGTGAAGTGTGTTTGAAAATAGCAAGGATGTTTTTGCAAGCTTTTTGATCAAGTAACTAAGAGCTATCTACCCTATTTTACTCAAAGATATTTCTTATGTTTTTAACCCTTTTAACAATGTTGTTTCACCATTGTATTTGGTGAACAACCTTGTGTTAGGATGTTAAACGGGACAGGCGCAGGTCATCGTATAGACCATGATAGCAATTGTGTTAGGTATCTTTGGCAATTTTCTTGAGGGACTTGATCATTTTGTTTAGGAAACCAAGATAGCGTCATCGAGGGACTATGATCTTTTGTTTTGTTTTTGTTTTTCCAAAGTACCCAACATACATACCATGGCCCATTTTTGAAGGCAACAAGTGGATTGTAACCCTAGGGGTGCAAGTGTGTATTGTGTTTGATTTTCATGCATATTTGTCTTTGATTAGGTCAAGCTATTTGTTAATTTGATTTTTGCATACAAACCATAATTCTCTAATCATGGCATAATTGAAAGCGTAAAGTGCGAGAATTTAAAATTCTAAGCTATTACAACATGATTATGGGGGTGGGGGTACAATTTTTGAATGGGGGGTATTTGACAAGAAATATAAACCCTAGTTTACTATTACATCCATATTGAATTTAAATGCATAAATATTTAAAGGGACAATTATTTAAATAAATAAATATGAATTATGCAAAAAAAAATGGTTTTTGTTTGTTTATGTATGTAAAAGTATTTTTGATGTAAAAAAGGTATAAAGAAATAAATAAAAAGACATAATTTTATTTGTTTTAAGGGTAAACCCTAATTTCTTTAAGAAAATAAACATATTATATTATTTGTATAAAATAAAATGTATTAATATGTACAAAAATAAAATATACTTAAAAAAAGGTATTTTATTTTATATTTTTATCCTAAGTATTTAATAAAATAAAAGTATATATATATATATATATATATATATATATATATATATATATATATATATATATATATATATATATATATATATATATATATATATATATATATATATATATATATATATATATATATATATATATATATATATATATATATATATATATATATATATATATATATATATATATATATATATATATATATATATATATATATATATATATATATATATATATATATATATATATATATATATATATATATATATATATATATATATATATATATATATATATATATATATATATATATATATAAAATATATTAAATATGTATAATATAAAATAAAATATGTACAAAAATAAATTATATTTTAAATAATATTTTCAGAGTGAATAAAAATAAGAAATAAAAATAAAAGTATAAATTGTAAATATTTTTCAAGTCTTAATAATATAAAAAAAATATTTAATATGTTTTCTATATTAGAAAAAATAAAATAAAATGCCAAATAAATGTAAAAAAATTATGAAAATATTTTTGGAGTATTTTTTATGTTTGGAAATAAATAAACAAAGTCAAAAATGAAAACAAAAATGCAAAAATATAATTATTCAAGAAATTGGGTCAGGGGGTGCAAAAATGAAAAAGAGGGGTGTTAGAAGCAAGCCAGGCCAAGCCCAGGCCAAGCCAACTTCATCTTCTTCCTCCAGACTTGAAAAAACGCGCGCCTGTTATACAAACTTGAACATCCTGTATACGTGATCTATTGCAAAAACTCACAACATCGAACTTGTAGAGAATTTCAATACGATTCCAACCATATAAAAAACTAATCCTAACTCTCAAAGACCAGAGAGAATTTCTCTGGCCCCAAAACTGACCTAGTTTTTTCAGCATGTTCATGGATGAAATTCTCCTAGCCCACTTAATATAAATGAAAATTGAGCATATGTACAGCTTCATGGCATTGAATACTACATTTTTCATTCACAAACCTAAGGCTAAATGTTCCTAAATAGAGAGATAGAAAGTGAAGAAAAACCTGTTTCAGTTGGATTTGTGTAGGGCAATGCAGTGCTTCTCCACAAGTTTTGAGGTGTCTGGTAGCTTGCCTGAACTTCACTTGATCTTTTCCAATAGCTAGCTTGCCTTGAATGTCCCTGAATCAGCCTCTAGAACTCAACCTGCACAAGCTTAAAATGAAAATGGTGAACACTGTAAATGGAGTTATAGTTGACAATAGAAGTTTGGGATAGCTTGAGTGAGTTGAATGGAAGGTGTTTGAAGCAAAAAGGGAAAAAACGCACGAGCCAAATGAGTTATGGCACTCAAGTTGCAGCACCTGCCCTGTTTTGCCAAAGAAGTGTGATTTCTGGCTATGGGGTGTTTTGGGGCTCAAGCACTCGTGTTTCTTGCTCAAAGGTTTGTGTGAAATATGTTTGAAATGTTTGTGTAAGCTAACAATGGATGGTTTTCAAGTTATGAGGATTTTGACAAGTTGCTTGTTTTTGAAGTAAGAATGTGTACTTGAGGTTACAGGCCTGTACAGGCCATCTTATCACTTTGCACACAATCCTCTTGGCCCCTATAATTAGTGGATTTGTTTAGCTTCAAGATATTTTTCTCTATGCTCAAGGATTAGTGGTTTGACATAAAGCAACCTTTTGCAAAAATGGAAATGTGCCTTTTACCATTTAGGGATTAAACTTGTGTACAATACCCTAATGACCAAGACAATGCCTTAGCTCAATGGATTTGCATTAAATTATAGAGTGTGAAGTGGTTTATAGGCCTGCAAACTAGTACAAGGCATGCTGGTTTGAAAATGCCACTTGAGTGAACATGAATTTGCCATGGATACAAAGTGAGTTTTTGCCAACTTCAAGAATTCGATTCTCCCTAACCACAAATGTGTTTGAGTAGTTCTTTGACAATTTAGAAAGCTTGAAACATGCTATATAATCCATCTTTGAAATTAAACTTGAGAATACAAGTGGAACTATGTGAAAAATGGCCAAGAAGATAGGTCAAAATCCTGCCTAAACTAGGGCAAAATTTCTCTAAGTTAAAAGTTTTAGGGACCCTTGTTCCAAAACTCATAACTTGAGATCCAAGCTTCTTTTGAGAAAACTTTGTGAATAAAAGTTGTAGACTTTGTGTATTACTACAACTTTCATGTTGTAAGTTTTGTTTGAATCCATTTGCATCATGGTGAAAATGTGGGGCAAAGTTAGGAAAAATTAAGAAAGTTTCATAACTTAGAAAAATTCTAAGTTATGAAAATTTTCAATTTCAAACCCTAATTTGCAATTTTGGGTTTCTTGATGAACAAGTTTCATAATTTGATGCGTCTTGATGAAAAATGACCCTTGGCACTTGATTTTGACCAAAAAGTCAAAGTTTGACTTTTCAGTGTACAGTCAAATTTTGATCAGTTGACTGAAAAATTTATCTGTCAATCCCATGCATTTGAGATCTTTTGAACTTGTTGAATAGTTCAAGATGATGCCATTGAGTCCTTGAGTCCATGGTTGAACCTAATTTGCCATTGGCTAGGTCAAAAAGTCAGAAATTGCCTTTGTGCAGTTAAAACCCTAAAAATGACCATTTTGCCCTTTTGGTGATCTGATCAAATTTCTTATGGAATTATGGTCCAAACTTGATCAAATGGTTCATATGAGTTCATAATGTTGATGTGGGTCAAAAATTGTGAGGTTTGACGGTAAATTGGCCACAATTGACTTTTTCCCCCAACACAGCTGATTTATAGGTCAACTGTCCAATTGACTGGGCAAAAATTTGATTCAAGGCTTAAAACTTGGTATGGGCAAACTTATGGGTCCATCATGAAGTATGAAAGTCACTTTGAGCATTGAAGGTCCAAAAATCTCTGTGCAAACTCAAACCCTAATTTAGGTCATCAGTGCAAGGAGATGTCTTGAGCAGAACAAACTCTAGCTTGATCTTGAGTTCCAAGAGTCTTGTGATGAGAAATGTTGATTAAATGAGAGGGCAAATTTTGGGGTACAACACAATATCATAAACAATATCTTATAACACAGCTTGGAGTCCAAATCCCAACTTCAAATATCTCTAAACATAATCTCATAAACTCTTTGCTATATGGCCTCTTAAAAAGAAGAAAGTTACGATATAGGTAATCAGGGATTTGAGGCGATGGATAATTTTCCCAATCAGCAACATTAATTTTGCACATATGAAAGACATTAAAATTCATAATAAGCAATTTCTTCTCCTTAGTTTGAACTTCATCATTGATGTTGTTCTCAATAGGAAGATTCAATTCTAGTTCATCTTCAGAGCCTTCACAAATATTATCATTTTCAAACAACAAAGGTTGAAATAATCATGTGAGTAATTAAGGAAATCCAAATCTTCCAAGTTAGATTCCATTATAAAACTTCCAACTCTATAAATAGGGAGGAAAATATATGAACCATGCCTTGAATGAATAGCCATTCCCATAAAGCTATGTACAATAGAGACAACAATAATGCTTTTCTTTGTAGCATGAAAGGATCTAATGGAAACATTATCATTGACAAAAATAAGGGCAATCCACCTAGTGATCCAATAGAATCTTCCCATGCAGTTCTCATGTCTCGTCTAACATTATCAAGTAACAAAAGCCAAATGATATTCCCTTCTCTCTTGTATTCTTGACAGAATGTCGCACCTTTCTCTTTAGCATCATTCACCAAGCCTTCAATGAAATTGGCCGATGATTCTGATACAACTGTTGTGATCTCAGATTCATTCTCGGGTGGTTCAACGCTTAGTTTTGCTACCTTAACCTTTACTTTCTCAACCAATGCGCCAACAACTGATTCCATTACCAGAACAACCTTCACAGTAGTACACCTCTGACCACTGAATGAAAAACCTCCTTTTATGATGTTTGCAATAACCAAATAAAGATCAACATCTTCAAGCACAATGGAAGAATCTTTTCCTCCCAATTCCATTAGTAGAGGAATCATACCTGGCTTCTTTGAAATTGCAATGCCAGTATCTCCACCAGTGAAGCTTATACAGTTAACTCCTTGATGCATTGTAAGAAAGTCTCCAATTTCCGAGCCTTTTCCAATAACATATCTGATTAGGCCTTTGGGAAAACCAGCCAAGTGAAAGCAATGAACCATGTGCAAAGCAGCAATAGCTCCCTGAGTTAGAGGCTTAAGCACAATAGAACTTCTAGCAATCAATGCGGGAGCAATTTTCGAGACAGCAAGGTTGACAGGATAGTTAAAAGGTTGAATGGCTAAAATAACTCCAACTGAAATATTTAAAGTGAGACAATATTTAGTATTTTCATTGCCTAGAAAATTACCAGAAACCATAAACTTTCCTTCACTAAGAATTCTCATCCTTGACTTTAAGAAATGGATAAGATCATTAGTCCGAGCAGAAGATGACATCACAGAAGCTTTCAAAATGTTAAGACCCTCAAATTTTTCAATGGTGACCATTCTCTCCTCCAAATCAGAAGAAAGAATCTCCAAATTACTCAAAAATGAAAGAACATACACATCAGAACTTGGCGAGACAACCAAGTCATCAGTCCCCATGTACAACGATGGACTCTTCATGAATCATGTACCACCACAATCACCATACACTTCACCAATAGAGGATTGTGGCTCTAAATAGCTCAAAGGAACATAAAACTCCTTTGTACTAATAGAAGAATCTTCAAAAGCAGTTAAATATCCATGAAATCTAGTTTTTTTTCATATTATATCTAGTGACACAAAAGTAATCAACATGTGGCACTTCTTCAAAAGGCAACAACTGGTTACTGAGTTTAAATTGATGAGCAAGTTTGGAATTAACCAGCTTATCTTTTACATCTGAGGTCTTTAAATACGTGTCACTGTCAAATTCAAGAATGCTCTTGTAAAAATTGTCTATGCTAGACCCACAAGAGTTTCCATTTAACATGCGTTCAACTCCTCCAAAGGAAAAAAATGTTAGGAAACTTAAAATAAAGTCAGCAAAATCAGCATCACCTAAAGCAAACAAAATTTTGTTATTTGATTTTCTCAGTCGTACCTTAACTTCAATTTTCTTCCTGTCATTTTATCCTCAAACCATTATCAAAATCCATGACATTGTTAAGTTGTTTACTCTCAAAAGATTGTTTCTTCAGCAAAAACATGTCATTCAACAGACACTCGGAGATTAACGAGAGCTTCCGTAAATCAAGAATCCCCTTGTGAAAATATTCCAAGACATGTTTGTTAGTTTTTACTGAAGGCATTCGAACAATTTCATGAACAACTCCATTGGCGGGTTCCACAAAAAATACTTCATATATATATTTGGACTTCAATAATTCATTAGTCTGTTCCCATGGTCGTGGATCTGGTGACTACTATACCGCTAGAAATACCACTGGAAATATCGTCAGAGATAAAACTGGAGTAGACGCCAGAAGTGTCACCGAAATTGGTAATGGAGAAGAGGCCTAAAATTCTGACACACAAAATATCAGAAGTCAAGACTGATATCTCAATAACACACAATGTCACAACAGATGTTATAACAACTGCGGATAGAAAACAGACAAGCTAAAACAGAATGATTATGCAGAAAAGTAAATTGCAGAAACTTAAAGAACACGATCAATTGTTAACACAGTTTGCTTCAAACTCACCTACTCTAAGGGCTACTAAGCCAGGAAGGAAATCCACTATCAGTAGTATCAATTTGAAGCTAAACAGTCCCAGTTTACACTTCTCACTTAATCCCTACCCAATGCAACTTCTACTAGGCACCTCCTAGAAATGAGAACCCCTCCCACTCTCAATCACCGCGGTGATATCAAACAATCTCAATCCCAGGGAATGTCTCAAGAAACAAAAAAGGAAGAACACAATTTCCAATTAAAATACTTAGTTTGCTTAAAAGCGTCACTAAGAACAATACTCAACTCTTACTTAAAAGCTTCTAGGAGAACAATAACTTGATAAACAAGTAACAATCAGTCAACTCAAATACTTCAAAAGATATATGAGGACGTACAAAAACACACGGAGAACCTAAGGAAATATAAAACCCTAAACCCTTATTTTTGCACAAGGTTTTACAATAAAAACTATACTTAAAAAACTAGGTCTTGGACGACTCCTTATATAGACTTTTGCATATGGGATTGGACTCTTCAATCAAATGTAATCATCAGCTCTAAATCCCTATAGAATATTCTCCACGAAATTAGAAACAAAAAAAAATCTTTCAAATATTTCCTAACAAGTCTCAAAGATCCTTTTTATGAAACAAATCAACTTTGTAATTGTTCCTAAAAATCCTTGATTGCTTGCGCCTGTTATGTGTACTACAAACCTCCAAAATCTCATATTTTTCAATAAAATCTTCAAGTAAAATATCCAACTGCAATGTTATGATGTTATGTTACAACACGTTACAACATCTGATAGAACATCTGTCAAATAAGTACCAACAGACTCTGTTGTACCAGTTGGTCAAGATGTTATGACATCTTGTTCAATATTAGGCTACAATACATGTTTTACCCAATGAAACATGTTTTGATAAAATTGTTGTCAACTATTTGTTTTACCAAATTTTTTGCCAACCATAAAATTACAGACCTAACAATCTTCCCCTTTGACAAATTTTGGCTAAAACAACCTAAGGCCAATTAACCTGGAGAGAGGAATAAAACCACAAACAAAAGTTGCATGAAACCATGTAAATTATGTAAACACAACACATCTCAAAAGCTTGTACAATCAGACAAGTTACAGTACTCCCATTGTCATACACAATCAGTCCCCCCCCCTCAAGGAAAAACCTCCACACAATAGAGCACATGTACAAGAACATCAAAAGCAGCAGCTTGCAGCTTCGGCATAAATAAGCATGAACAATCATGCTCCCCTTGAATAGTTGTATGAGCAATCACATAAACACAAACAACTACTCTCCCAAAAGCAATAGCACACAGTCTTATCACAATCCTAAATTAACATATCAAGACATGTGATGTAACATCAGGACACAACACTTTACTCCCCCTTTTTAACCAAAATATTGACAAAAAGAAATAGAGTAAATGTATACCAGCGGGGGAAACACACATTTCATATTGCACCCAAGCAATAGCCCATATGGAAACACACATTTCATATTGCACCCAGGCAATACCATAGATAGAAACACACATTATAACATCCAATCATGAGCATCAGATGGAAACAAACATAAGACCCATGCGCACTTAAGGGTGCTACAGAACTGCAAATGGAAGCAAACAAATGGAAACACAACCTCTTAGCCAGCTTCAGGTGGTAATGCACCTCTTGCCTCTGCCAAAGAGCCTTCTGCATTCCTTAGTGTTGTAACCAGATCCACTGTCTTGCATAATACCTTCCTTCTATCCTTTCTGAGTAGCAATTTTTTCAAGCATGTCATGTCTCAGAGTATAGCAGAAATATACAACATCAGTTGTATTTCTCTATTTTCGTAATTGCTATAACTCCTTAATAGTACGAGTTACAATCTCACTATTTTTTATAACAACTAGTTGATCCTTGTTGTCCATATGCTCTAGAGTCTCTTCCTTCCCTTTAACAAGATTATTGATCAGTTGTTTACAATTACCAAGGTCGTTGTTCCAGTCATGTTGAATGAGATATTTGAAAGAACTCATATCTTCTTTATGAAATATCATGACATCTCTCTTGACATCATGCCTCTTCAATACTAGTTCAGAGAAACTTTATCTTGTTTCCCTAGCTTCATCTCCAGTAGTATACCAAGAAGCACCTCCCTGCTTCTTACTGACACAGAAACCCAAGCTATTCCTTAATGCAAAATATCCATAAGTATTTGATATCTTCATATTTAATCCAATGATGTTTCCTTTATCAGAGTGAAATATAGTCAGATCTTTGGGTTATTCTATCTGTCCCTCAGTAGACAGACTTTTGCTGGATTGAGAATTGACTAATTTAGAGTTTGTGAAATCAGAAAATCTCCTCCCTTAGTGCTTCATCAAATTGCACATAGGATATTCCAACATTGTCTCTGACATCCTCATTTTCTTAAGCAATTGAATCATCAACAGTCATATTGGTAGATCCCAAATACATTCCAGTTCTGGAGTTAAAAACTCTATAAGTTCTGCTCCTCGAAGAGTAACCTAAAAATATCCCTTCATCCCTAATGGGATTCTTCTTGCCCTCTTGACCTTGGTCATTCAAGTAGTAGCATTTACTTCCAAAGATGTGAAATTAATTGACTATAGGCTTCACTCCTTTCCATAACTCATAAAGAGTGGTTGAAGTATCTCTCCTCAAAGTAACCCTATTGTGGACATAACTTCTGCCCAAAAGTACAAAGGCAAACCCTTAGCACAAAACATGACTCTAGCTGATTCTAGAATCTCCTTGGTCACTTGTTCAACTATTCCCCCTTGCTGAGAACACTCATAACTGATATTGCTAGAAGCACAAAATTTAGAGAATTTTATATTCTCCAACTCTTTGTCGTGTTCACTTATAATTTTGGCAATATCATCATTCTTCTCTTCTTGAACACTTTGACACAAGTTTTTGAAGACCTCAAAAGCATCTAGTTTTTCTCTAAGAAAGTTTATCTAAGTATATGAAGGGTGAGAAAAACACAAGAAAGGGGGGATTGAATTAGGTTTTCTAATAAACTATTTCTTTAGAAATTAATTCATAAACAACTAGAAAGAATATAAGTAAAGAAAGACTATAAAATACACTTTGGTTTATCCAGGTTCACCTCTAACTAGGCTACTAAATTCCACCCTCCCCAGGTGATTTCTCCTTCAACAAGGACTTAATTCACTAATCTCAACAGATTACAGATGCATGGGCTACCCATCTGTGACTAAGAACAACCGTCTAAGAGTCTACCTGACACCTTAGCCCTCTCAGGTCTCATACTACAACCTAGTCACTTGAGGTAATAATAAATTCTTAACGGAATTACAATCAACTGTGTTTACAAGGTTTGCTTCTAAATAAGCAGATTAACACAACTATGAAGAACAAAGTCTCTAATACAAATAATGAGCTACAACTTTTTGTATTGAGAACTCTAAGATTAACACAAAAATAATGAGCAACAACCCTTTGTGTTTAACCTTTAATATCTTAACACAATAACGAGCATCAACTCTTGTGTTCTTTATATTTCTCTAGAAGAATATTTGTAGATGTATATGAATAGTGATTCTTCTTTTCTCTTGGTGTTTCAGTATTTCAACAATTTGATTCAAGAGTGATAATGGTTGATAGTTCGTCAATCTTCAAATGCTGATGGAGTCTCTTTATATAGACTTGAGAAATAAGATCATTGATAGTATGAAGATGTCGCTTTCCTTTTCCATCTACAGTAACTGTAGCATTTCATCATGGAAGACAACATAGTAAAATACGTAAGAAAGTAGTGGAATATTTTAAACGTATTGATTGTACTATAAACTTTATGGATAAGTTTCTTAGTCTTTATTTTCTGATGATTTACTTATGCTTGAAGTAGTAAGCTTGGAAGATAACTCTTGATCATATCTATGTCTTTTGTTCTTCTTACT